TGGGGGGCTTATTCATTTTCACACAACACAAAATATATATGTATGTGCAATGTTTTAAAGGTTTTAAAAAAAAGTTAAGCCTTGAAAATCATTTGTCATGATCTGCAGAATTAATTTTCCAAAAAAAAATTAGTTTGTTCAGAAATTCCTTAATCCTGATATTTTCACTGTAAACAAAAATGTTGGAAGAGGTATCTTGTTTAATTGTACTGGATTCACACTTACAGAAGTGACGTCACAGAAATGCAATGGCTACCTTGTGTGTACAGGAAGCTGTCAAGGTTGAATCAATTAGATTGACAATAATCTGGCTGGAGTCAGAGAAGAGTTACTCATTTTCTTTAATTTGAAGTAATGTTGAATTAAAATGGGTGTGACAATATATTGGTTAAGGAGACCAGAGGGTTTGGTATTTATTTTCTTGTATTTGCAGTAAAATTGAATGAACATGAATTAAAATTTATATCTTTTTATTATTTCGTGTGACTTTTCTTTTCTGTTCATTTTCTCGGCAAAGCCTCGTGTTTGGCAACTTAAGAATCTTCCCCTCGGGTTGATATTCCCCTATCTCACCCCCAAAGGGGTGAAAGATTCTATTAATCCTGGTCAGAGTTCATAACTGTTAGCAGTTCACAACCTTCATTGTCTTGTCTTTGCGATCAACATTGCTTTTTGCTGACTTCCGTGTTTCTATGGTCAGGTGGCCATCTTTGATGATAGGATCTGGGTAATACATGTACCTCCTAATCACCACGTTGACTAATGAGTATTTCTTAAATGCAATTAAGCATCAAGTATGAACAAAATAATTTCAATTTTCAAGTTATAGCCGTTTGTCTGGCCAATCAAAAACCATGGTTGCCATTTTGCATTTTCGGATGTAGATAGTACATTGCATGTATTTCTGCACCATGTAGACTTAATAATCAATTAAGTACCATTTTCCAAAAAGTACAGAATAAAAGTTATAGCTGCATATGTCGGTACCCTCAATTTTTGTACTGTTTTGGAACGTGTATAAACACCGGATAAAATGTGTTTCTGTTATTTACTTGTGTGTATAGGTTTATTATTAACCGAAAGTATCCCGAAACCGAGCCCCTATATGCTTAATCAAACGAACGATGGCAATACTGTGTCTAAAAACATCATGGCAAGCTCTCTTTACCAGGAGTCTTTATTAAACAAACCTCATTTAGTGATGTAAGTTGCACTTTACTTTGGGGTTCCGTGTACTGTTACGAGTCAGAAACAACAGGCAAAGCCAATTAGGCTCCATTACATTGTATTATATAATTAGTTTCGCGTTTTTCTTTCAATTACTTTATGCAGTAAAAGAGATCAAGTATGTTATTGTTTGAGTTTAATTACACAGTTTTTAGATACGGAAACAAGAAAAATATCAGTTTTGTTAATGAATACTGGAGAGGTTTCGCTACTAAACATCTTTTAGTAGGTCATTTGTACCGGTTCATGAAAGACATTGACAGCGCATAGATCGTATTACGTTGGCCATAGAGACCACATAGATCATCTTATCGGAATACTAATTGCTCTGAAACAACAGCAGCATATGAGTCTTTAGCCGTCATTGTTGAACACCAGAAGACGAAACATTCTGACAAGTTATTCCGTCTTTGCATATTGCAGAGTTATCTTCTCTTGGGAGCAGGTATTGATTGTTACGTCACTTGTTTGTGAGAATAACGTCATCAATTTTTGAGAAAACGACGTAATTTTCTCACACAAACCAATGACGTAACAATCAATACCTGCTCCCAAGAGAAGATAACTCTGCAATACGCAAAGACGGAATAGTCATACTTTGCAGTTAATTTCAGAAATGAAATTGTGTAAGAGCGACAGGTGCGGCCGGTCGTTCGATGGTCAATTCAATGTGTTTATTCTGTAACCCTTTCGTTACGTTATTATAGGATACAATGCATTTAACAATAGTTAACCTAACATAATGGTAATACTGTTTGACAAGAGGGTGATAATTATAGGCAATCAAGCAAAATTCAAGTGCACTCACGTACAGCATGCAAAAACACCTACACTCACGAAAATAAGCACAAAAGTATTGCAACGCACGTACATACACGAATGATATCACAGTTGCATGCACGCACAAATTTGCTCGCTCTCCCGCTCATGGTCACTCCGACTCGTTAAGAAAACAAACATTATGAGCCTAAATGACAATATGGGGGGACTATTGCTCGGTACAAACAGCAGCAGACATGTTTATTGAGGGGATTTCAGTGCTTAGACAAAAAAAACCCATCAGGATTTTAAGTGCAACGTCTCCGTTTATTTCCCCTGTAAGTTTAATAGTAGGATATCATGTCTAGCTGAGTGCAGATTCAGCTCAGATAAAGTGTTGATTACACGACTAAATGGTTGTAGATACATCTGAGACATGTTTGTGCTACCCAAACTCCTCTGTATGTATAATAACAATCGTCTACTGTTTCAACAGGAGCGTCGTTCTGTAAACGATTCTACCTTACAGTGTCATGGAGACTTAATGATGTTTGCTACTTAAATGTCGCATGCGCCTCCTTTTCAAAGAGTTCCACTACTTAAATGTCGCATGCGCCTCCTTTTCAAAGAGTTCCACTAAAGTAAATGCTTGTATGGCATTGGTTACACGAACAGATATAAAATCCTTGATTTAATACTAAACTTGAATTGACATTTGATCAGAGTCTGTCAACGAACCAGTCATCACACTTTGTAAACAAAACGTAATTGTCATGAAAACAACTGGTACCTCAAGTCCTGACTATTTAGAACAATCATATTCTTTCAAAGGAAAAATGTAAAATTTATCTCCGACTAATGCTTTCAAAGCGTGGACATCTTTTGTGATGTATATCGATTCACGGACGATAGGACATATTCTATCATTAAGTATATTATAATATAAACTTTATCTATAGTAAATTTTACGGATCTAGGAATCGAACCCAGGCAGTCTTAATGAAAGGCGAGTGCGCTTTTCAATATGTTCTATACGATATATCTTATTTATCATACGAGATGTTATTGCAAATATATAAGATATGTTATAAAGAAATTACATGAGTTATCGTTTATATAATATTTTATAAACCTTTCAAGACGTCTCATTTAATTCTATAGATAAGATAGCTCATGCATATATCATATGATTTCTTATGTGATTGAAATAAAGTAATTCTTTAGGATATCTTATCAGAATGACATAACGTGGCATTAAAAACGAGAAGCGATCATCATTCGGAGCATGTGTCCTGGTACAAAATATTGAAAACGAGAAGCGATCTTATTTTGCATTTATAGTCCTTCACTGTGATTCCAAAATGGTCTATGCCATCCATGCGTTTGTGACACGAACATTATTTATCTTATTATAAAATGTCATAAAATGAAACGAAACATGCAGTGTTGGTTGGTTTAGCGAAAAAAATGGCTGCGCTTAAGCTTCCAGCCAATCACACAACGGGTCTCGCACGCGCTGACCTCAAACTCGTTAGTGTTCAAAACAGTGACACATGACTGCGAAAAACCTTTGAAACTCCGAAATGGCGTGTGGTTTTCGAGGAAACAGAGATCATGTCTACAGAAGGAGATTACATTTTACGTGCATATAGGAGGTTTTTAAAAGAAAATATATATCTATCTTTTCAACGGTACTAAGCATTTTCCCGATGTTGTTTTTAATGCAAGAAAGTTAGGTGGGTTCGACTTTTCGATATCGCGAGATTTCCGCCCTTCTCGTACATGTATATATGATACATGTAACTGGGGTGTCATTTTTACCAAAAGTCGATCTAAACCCCCAAAACATGTAAAATAAATCTGAACACCTAAGTTTAGGTCCAAATATAGCTGTAACAAATATTCTCAGGTCCCTGTGTCATCCAGCACAGTCGCCGATATGACCTCGTCACAGCTGTCCACTATAGTTTTGTTAATTTGTGCTAAAATGTAGGAGAGTCTGGTGTATTCCAGGGACTCGCAACGTAGTATGAAATGTTCGATATCCTCAATCCCATCCTTACATATTAAGCAGGTTGCTTTGACATTTTATTTTTATTTTACTCTGATGTATAAGAGGGGATAATCTCCAGCTGCAATTTCTGACTGACAGTGTATCCCGTTGTGCCGATTCGAGAATATGATGTATCTTTGAAACTGTCATGGAACTGGGGTGGAGTAAGGCGAGTATATATTTCCCTTTGATTTGTGTAGTCATGGATATGGTTCATCCATAATTGTTTTATGGCACACTCAACCTATTTTCCCCTTATGCTTCTTTTGGGAATGTTTTCGAGAAGTTCCAGTGCAGACGGTATAGGTTGTATTTCTCCAGTGTGTGTTGGACATATATAAAGCAGCTCATGGATGAGATGTTCTTAGCGTATTGCAGAGTTATCTTCTCTTGGGAGCAGGCATTGATTGTTACGTCATTGGTCTGTGTGAGAAAATTACGTCGTTTTCCCAAAATTTGATGACGTTACTCTCACAAACAAGTGACGTAACAATCAATACCTGCTCCCAAGAGTAGATAATTCTGCAATACGCAAAGACGGAATACCATTACCAAACATGAGAATGGTCTGTTTATCGATGAAGGCTTCTATAAGAAGCTGGTCCAAGAGAATATACACTGCTGCATCAGCCCCGCGAGAGGTTTTAGAGTTTGTTTGTGATGTTGTGATTGTCTTTATCTCTTTTGACAGTGTTACGGCTTCCAGTCCATATATAGCATCCTTGGTCTGACATAACAATTCCACATTTGGATGAGTACTTT